CCTGCTGGCAGCAGTCCTGCAGTCACCAAATGGGAGCTGATTGATTAATATCTACTGATGGCCCCAACAGTTTGCTCAACTGGTGCACATTGGAAAAGAGCAAGTGTCAGCACTACTCTCCTCCTGCCACTGCAGGTAGAGGGAGCCACCGGTTCCCCTGCAGGGAGGAACCCCTGGACAGGTAGATCAGGGCTGCTCACCAGGAGTTAAAGTAGGACAAGCCCAGCCTACAGCCAGGCACCTCGCAGCTGATGGGTGTGATGTGAGCGGCCCCCCTGCATCACCCAGGGTCTGTGCCTGCATCCTCCCAGCTGACAGGCAGCCTACAGGAGGCAGACCTGCCTGCAGGTTCATGTGTGCTTTGGGGCAGCATTCCTCTTTAGTGGAGCTTGACTGCTGATTAAGGCCGTGCTGATGAGGTCATTAACAGAGGAATCTGAAGAGATATTTTCTCTGGGGGTGTGAGGCTGGTCCCATTGCGAAATTCTTCCTCAGCCCAGCTGTCTGAGATGCAGAAACAAAGAGCAGAGCCTCCCCTGAGGCCGCTGGCTGGAGCAGTGACAGGAACACAATCTGGGGCTGTAGAAACCAAAACACTGAGTGGGATACTGCACTTAAATGTAGCTGGGTAGCGTCACTGGCTCTTCATTTGTCTGTGTGTGTGTGGTGTAGACACGTATCCCCGCTGTGTGCGCTTCTCCCTTGGCAGAGAAGCATGCCCAGTGCAGTGGGGAGTGGAGGGGCATCCGTGGCTGTCTGGACACATGCACAATCATCCCTTTCATTTATTCCCCAGAAAGTCAGCTCTGCCGTTGGCACCCAAATGTGGTTGAGCTGGAATGTGAAGTGGTGCTTTCACTTGCAGCTGGGATCTGGAGAACTGTTCTTGTCGAGGCCATGAGGCTGATCCTATTGTGAAACTCCTTTGGGTCATCATAGCCAAATCTGAGATGTTGATACTTCACAGGTTAAAATGCTGTTTGTGTTCCATATCACCCAGCACATCTTAGGTACTGCTTCAGGGGAAAATGGCTCTGCTCAGACAGGCCCTAGGACTGCAGCCTGTAGTGTAGGCAGCTCTTGCCCTCAGGAACCGAGATGGGAGAAGAAAGAGCCCTCAGTGAAGTGAAAGCTATGATTTGTCTTTTAATGCCCAGGCATTAATGCCCTGGCTACTTAATAGAGGAGCAGCACCGATGGGGTATTCAAGGGCCAATGTTACCTCAGAGTTGTTAATCATCCCAGAAGAGCTTGCATAATACCTGCCTATGCTGCAGACTAAAGCCAACCTTTGTAACTCCAGGTCAGGAATAAATAAGTCTTACCTACTGCAGAGATGGTGGATGCTGGCTGGTGGTGGACGTGTGCTGGATTCGTCAGAAGTGCAAAGTGGTGAGCAGGCGGCAGTTGGGGCACCTATTAGCTATGCCTGAGTTGCAGAAATGCTGTGAGCTGTGGGAGTGAAGCCAGTTAGCAGGGGGAGAGGCAGTGCTTTAGCCCTCCTGCCAACTGTCACTTGCATTGCCCACATCCTGCGCTTTTATTGGATTCCTCTTTTTTATGTCTTTTTTAATTAATTTCCTAGAACTGTATGGTAGCCTGCCCCACCGTGAAGGATTTGAGCATTAGGTTCTGGCACAGACTGTGGTGCTACCTAGCTGTACACTGGTGGCAGCAGTAGCTGCCATGGTGCCACAGCTGTCCCTCCTGCATCCCCGCACGCTGGCAGGGACACCATGACCAAGGTGATTTTTCCTCACTGTGCAGCCAGCAAGTGCCTGGAGATGAGGGCAGCGGAAGGAAATCTCACAGTATCGCAGGGCCAAGAGAGCACCCCCTTGCCTGGCTTGGCTGCAGCTGGCCAGAAACAGAGGCACCTTTTTCTCTTGGTCTTTGCATTTTAGATTCTGCCTTATTAGGCAGAAGCTGCATTCTTGCCATCCAGGTCAGGACGGGGCAATGCTAAACTCGGCCCAAATCTGGCAGTGTCTGTGTCTTCCCCCCCTCCTCAAAGGAAAACACTTCTGAAGGAAAGGCACCATCGGAATACTTCATCTTGGAAAAAACAATCAAAGGGGCTAGAGAAAAACAAACTTATCACAAGTGAAACAAACTCAGCCTGGAGTATAAGGAGGGCTCAGGGTAAAGGCCAGACTGAAAAAAGAATGGTTTACCCTGAAATGGGAATGTGAGTCTTGTGTCCTGAATCTGCTAGGAGTAAGGGGGACTATGAGGCACAGGCGCTTCTGTGGGAGAGCTTAAACTTGTGGACGTTACCTGTTGGGCAAAGGGTGCAGAGAAAGCTCCAGGGGACAGGGGAAGGCTCCCCTTGCAAGTGTAGCTCTGGACTGTGAGGGACAATATTCCTCTGGAGGGACTTGGGAGTGCCAGGGGCATCCTGGAGGGGAGCAGCGCTCTGCAGAGCTCCACTGTCTTTTCACTTTTTTGTGTTTATCTTTGGATTTAGGTGTATGTGTGCCACAAACCCAAGCAGAATCTAAAGTCTGGTATGGGCGAGGAGCGTGGTGTGCCATCAGAGCCGAGGCTTGTGTGTAGGGGAGGGCGCTGCTGGTGATTGCAGGCATGTAAATCCCCACCATTCTCTGGAATACCCAGGAAGAGTTAGTGCCAGCTGTGGAGGCCACAGAGCTGATACAAAGCACTTGCTCTTGCTGTGGCAGGTATGAGACACAGCATGGCAAATACTCTGTGGTAATTGTGTTTTGGCCATGGGGCGTACTCAGTTTAGGCCTCAGAGCATTAGTAAAGTCCATGCTATTGAGCGCAGGGTTCTGCTTAAAGTCTGTGAATGTGTTCTGCTCCTGCAGACCCTTCCCTTGCAATAGGAGAGGGCAGAGCAGTTGGCTCTTAAAGTGGCTTTCTAAAAGCTACTTTCCAGTCTTGAAGAAACTAAGAAAAGAAACTTGAAGAAGAGAAATATTTCATAGGCTGGCTTCCCTATACCATGCAGTCAGCTCCAGCAGCTCGCAGATTTCCTGTCAGCTTCTCCGTGCTGGAAACGAATGCTTCCCTCACCTGGCTGCCTGCATCCCGTGCCCATGGTGCAGAGCAGTATGCCTCAGTATCAGCCATGCAGAGGAACAGCATGTGGGAAAAGGAGGCAGTGCTGTTCCCAAACCAGAGATGGAGCAGGGAGGCTGCTTCTCTGGAGACTTCAATTTTGTTTATTCAGACAAAACCAGATTCCAATAGCTGCAGCTGGTTTTGGGAGCAGAACAGCAACAGCCTTCAGCCACTGGAGTTAGTCAGAAAAGGCCTCACTGTGAGTGCTCGCTGCTGCTCTCCTTCCATCCCCAGGTCTGTGGTGGCCCTGGATTCACAAATGAGCTTTCTGTGACAAGAGAGTCTTCGTCATCTTCAACTATCCCGTGTCTGCCAGTACTGGGGGAGGAAGCTCACTGAAGGGGCTGGCAGCTCGCTGTGCTGCCAGCTTTGGGAGATGAGGGGAGGGCAGTCTACGCTTGGTGCCACTGCCGTTTTCCTGATCTCCTAGCAGCAGACAAGTCACCGGAGCTGAGGTCTGCTGATAGCACGGGTGTATGTGCAGGAGTGCTTCCTTGCCTGTAGGGAGAGAAGCGTGTAGAGACCTTGAGAAAGCTGAGGAGCGTCAAGCTTAGATGGGTCGCTGCAGTGTTTGGGGACGGTTTTGTATTGTGGCACCTGCTTGCCAGTTGCATGCTGTGAGTCATTGTGGAGAGGACATCAGGCCAGATACTGGCTAAGAGTTAGAGAAATTAAAAGTGATTGCTGTCTCTGACTCCCACCCCCTCCGGCTGCCTTTGTTTCAGGTCCTTGGGAGCTCAGGCAAACTCTACACCTGCTACAGTTCCTGCCACTTCTGCACGTGTCCTGCTTTTGGTTTTACGGTACTGCAGAAGAGCGAGAGCCTTCTGGTAAGTTGTCTGCCTTAACTTGAGGCCAGGACAGGGAGCGGGGGAGAAGGCTGTGCTCTGCTTCTTGAACCTGAGCAGCCTGAAGTTTCCAAGGGAGCAAACGCGTGAGCGTTGAGTTGGCCACGCAGGCTGTGCCTGACCCACTGCATAATCTGGCCCCTGGGAGTCGCGGTATTTGGGTGGAGCTAGGCCTTACAAGGGCTAAGGAGGGCTTTTGTTCTTAATTATGCATTACTGTTCAGACTTTCAAGAGATGAATAATCCCTGGTCTCTTGGAACAAGGGCTATTGCTGCTAATGGGACTGCCACATGGAGTCTGGCTGATGAAGTGGTGCAGTTCCTGCCTGGTGCCAATGAGGAGGGGCTCAGGGTAACTAATTGGTCTGCAGATGTCCCCGCGCCCTGTGCCAACCATCCCTCCCTCATGGGAAGCCCGTCTGTTCCAGGACCTCTGTCATCTGGGCCTAATACTCTTGTTTTTGAGAGCCGTGTGGGCTGCCAGACAGTACTAAGCCGACTCTTGTTCTTTATAGTCTGGATCTACCTTCTCCTGCATGCATGTGGGAAGGGCATCAGGAGCCAGTTAACACTTTGCTGTGTGTCAGATCCCTGTATTACATCATCCTGATGGCAGAACTGACCTGGTGCAACTGGAGCATCAGCCTGTGCCAGGGCTTGGTGTGCCAAGAGGGAACCATGTTCCTGGGAGGGGTGAGCGCTTCATTAGACCCATTCTGGCCAGGATGGATATTTGTGGCTTCCAGATAGAGCATGACATTCCTGTGTTGCTCCCACTGTTAACTTGGCTGCGCTATTATTTGCAGTGCAAACATATACTTGCCGTCTACCTCAGTCAGGCCATGGGAACCTGCCAGGAACTCTCTGTCTCTGAGGAGCAGCTCACAAGCATCTTACTGGCTGAGGAAGAGGATGAAGGATGAAGGATTTGGATCACATGTGGATGTGCTTTCTGTGGATGTGCTTTTCCTGGCTGTGTAGCTGGCATTTTTTGTATCTACAAGGCTGTCAAATGTTCATCGTGGCTGGTAGGTTTCTTCCTGTGCTGCAGCCAAGCACGACATTAATTAGCAGCCTTGCACTGATGGATTAATTAATAAATGTTAAGAAGCCCGTGTTGACTTCCATTTCATTTATTAGGCTATTCTTGGGATTGCTGAAGATGTTTGAACTAATCTGTAGTATTGGGTGCTTGTGATGTGGGGATACGAACAGTCCAGCAGGTCTCTTGGTGATCCATTAAACCTTGTTAACTCTGCTCGTGCTTTGACTAACCCCACCACCCTTCCAGGGCCGGCATGGCTTTGCGGAGTTGGCCTTTGACAGAGTGACGCTGCAGTGGCTCTTTGCAGCTGGCTGCTCAGAGCAGTTTCTGATTCATCACTGGCAAACCTGTAGGAGGAACTAGGGCAGGGACCCCTTGGCACCTCAGGACTGATGACAGGTCTGCGCTTCCGCTGTGCTTACTGTAATACAGGATCTTTGGAAGCATCACCCTGGCTGCCGTGCTTTTAAATTGACCCATTTCAGACAAGTTGACCACCTCATGCTGGCAGGCAAGGCAAGGCTGTTCACTTCAGACACGGGGGAAAGCAGCCTGCTGCTCCCCTGTTCCACACACCAGCCGGTGAGCTGGGAACCAGCTCCTTCCAGCTCTGTGACTCCCTGCCCCTGCTCTGAGATTGGGCTCGGGCTCGAGTGCAGCGTGGCCTCGTATGATACAGTGTGTGAACACAACACCGCAAGAAATAATGGGGTACAGGCTGAGCCAGGTTGTGTAGGTGGTAAATTAAGCATTCTGTATGTAAATAACAGTTACTGCAAATAATACAAAATCTGAGCAACATGAGGAAAACACATCCATCCTATGTACATCAGAGCAGTAATGAGTGATAGCTGAAAAGCTACAGCTGCACTCGCTACAGAAAGTTCCTCTGCCATTTTCACTTCACATTTTTACAGAAACCTTCAGAGCTTTTTTTTGAGGGGGGCAAGAGAGGTGTCCTATTTTTATTTTGCCTTGAAATGACTTTGGCTCAGATCCATGAAGGCACTTAACGTGCCTAAACACCACCGTGACCCGGGCCATAGTTGATGGCTAACAACCCGATGGCACAGTCATACTAAGGAAACACCCCATCTGTCTGTCTACAGGAATTCTGGCTCGTAAGAGGCATGTGAAAGGTAGCAGTAGTGGCTGCCGAGCTGCAGCGCGAGCTGTCACACCCGAGCACGTGTTCTGGGACCACCTCTCTGTACTGCAGTGCTGTGTGTTTCAGTCTGTTCGTGCTGTCTGGAGTTTGGTTCGTTTTCAGCCAGCAGGAGAGGAGAGATTACATTCTTTGTTGTAAGGATAAATGTGGCTTGCAACCGCTTTGCAACACTGCCAGACCTGCAGGTGAAACCCTGCTTGTTTCCAGCCATGATTAACAGAGGGAACACAGCCAAAGATAATACAGAAGGGAAGGAATGAAAGGAGGAGAGAGGCAAACCCTGCCCAAATGGCAGGAGGTGGCTACATGTGTTAGCTGGACTATGAGCAAGGCAGATGATGCAGCAAAGCTGAATGGGGCTGTTAAAGGAGAAACACGTGGGACAGTAACTTTTAACCATTCGGCTTCTTGGAAATGCCAGTATCCGAGATACTGAGCTGTAGCTAAATTTGGACATTGCACAAACACGTACAAACCCATTCAGAGCTTACTGGTGATTCACCAAGGTTTGGGGCTGGATCTTGGCTGAGCTCCTACACACACGGGAGCGAAATCCATCACTCCTCGTGAACCCTCCTCTGTCCGCGTGGTGGGCCCTAAGTTGTACCCGCAGCTGCTGCTTGCAGGCCACGCCAGCTGGCACAGCAGATGCTGCAGGAACACGATTTCTTCAACTTTTCAGCTGATTTTACACCGTATTTGTCACTATGAAATGAAACACTTGGGGTCTTATATTACCCCTCTTTTAGTGCAATGCAGTTAAAAAAAATAGAAAGCTGATTTCTATATGATTCAAGTACAATTTATCATGGACAAACTGCTCCAGGCATCACAGTCTGTCCGCTGGACCTGTTCTTCAGGAACTGGCCGTGTTTAAACTTCCTTCCCTGCCACCTGGCTCTAAAAGGCCTCTCCCTGCCCCTGCCTCCCTGCACGATCTACCACCGAAAAACGTATTTAATACACAGCCTCGCACTCTGGCTTCTCGCTGGTCGCGTGGTGATGCTGCTGGCGGTGCGTGCTTCGGAGAGAGGCGGTGCCACTTCACCACGTCGGGACCTTCAGGCAAGACGCCCGTTTGTAAGGGGGCCACAACGCGATGGCAGGTCTGAGCTAGTCAAGAACAGCTGTGTCTCTGTACCACAGCTGGCTTTTGGGCACGAAGGAGGGAGGCCGTTCGGTGTTTTTCTGACTCCCCTCCCCGTTCCTCTCAGTTGTGGAATGAAACTGCCCTGCAAAATAACAGACATGCCAGAAACACTGGTTCATTTACAGCAGTGTGCGTGCCGCTGTGCAGTCTGGAGAAGTGGAGCTCGTACTTCAGAAATTAATGCACTGTTCTGTCTACCATTGCCTAGTTTTGCGTGTCACAGTTACATATGAAATCAGTCGCAGTAATTACTGAGCTGTGGTTACAGAGAGTTATTAACGTGCAGTACAAATTAAGACTGCTCTGCTGTTGCGTGGCCTTTGTCCTCGCAAAGGGCCAGGCCTCCGTGGCTAGCTGCAGAGGCCGGGCTGGGCAACCTGCGAGGTGAGCTTCTTCCCAAAGAGCCTGGCCAAAACCAGGTCGCAAGTCAAGGCATTCTAGCTTCTCAAGCAAATTAGCTCCCTTCCAGTCTCTTTTGTTACTGATGCAGGTCAGGATTAAACAAAATAATTAAAAAAAAAATCACTATTAGAAAAAAAAAAAAGCACTCACAGCTTCTGGGGGTTACTGGGCTACAGAGGAACCCCAGCAAGACCAAGTTTTAGGAATCAGGTAAGCTGCAGCATCCAGCTATCACAGCTAAAACCTGCACTTCTGGAAGCACTGCAAGGCTGCCAAGTTTTGACTTGGGAGCAAAAATCTGATTGTAGAGCTCATGTCACCAAGGGCGTGTTTGCACTAACCTCAGTGACTCTGGATCAGACGAGCTAGGACCATTGGGGCACTTCTGCCTTCTGAGAGCAGGAACCAGATCTGAAATCAAACCTGAAGCACTGGTCCGCACAATCCTGTAGACCAAAGTGATTTAAAGGCAATAAAACACTGTTGTAAAACTTCAGTGCACTCTTTTCTAAAATTTTTCTCTTTCAGTAAGTAAGTAGAGCTTCCATACTGGGGCCAAAAATAGCTGGCCAGTTCTGATCTTGTTTTCCCATCAACATGGTCATGTCCCTCAGAGCCGGGAACGCAGATTCAGTTTCACACCAGCAACTGGGCTAAGTAAGACTTTTTCCCATCGGAGAATACTAGCTGCATCAAACAATTGATGGAATAATTAGGGTATTACCAAAGTGCTGTCAAGTATGGACTTAAAGAACAACCCAAAACCAGATACAAAATTATTACTCCTAAATGAATCAAAAGATTAAAAAATAATAATAATAATAATAATTAAAATAAAGATCCTAGGACTTGACATGAGCAGCACAACTGGGGAAACACCCCCAGCAGGTGGGTCTTCCACAGTCAATGTCTGACCTGGAAAGGAAATACAATACGATCACCAGCACTCACGCAAGCTGGGTTTACAGTCGAGGATGAGCTGCACGCAGCCTCCCCGGTCAGGTTATTCCTCTAGGAGGCACTATGTTAATTACAAAAATAAAAAAAAAAATACAGCTGCATAACTGCATAGTGGTCATCTCTGAGCACTCCTCTAGGAGTTCGCTGTAACTGTTCACATAGGCACAGGGAAGGGTAGTGTCAGGGACAGCCTGCAAAACCCTGGGAGCAGGACACGCACGGTCATATGGTCACACAGGCTACCGGAGAGTTAATGTTGATGACAGTCAGGTGCTGGTTGTTGTCAGTGGTGCACTTGGGGAAGTTGTCCGTCTTACAGAGGATCTTGGAAATGATCTTGCGGAAGGTGTAGCGGAAGTCCCTGATCCTGTAGGCATAGATGATGGGATTGATGACAGAGTTGGCATGGGAGAGGATGATAGCCATATACATCACCCACTCAGGCTTGGATTTGGAGAACTCCTCGTGGAAGTGAGTGATGCAGTTCAAGATATGCAGGGGCAGCCAACAGAACGCAAAAAATCCTACAATGATGGCCAGAGACTTGGCTGCGTGGACCTCCTTCTGCAGTGTGGTCCTGGAGTTGCCCATCAGTTCGATCTGATGCAACTGTTTGCAGGCAACCATGAATATCTTAATGTAGATTCCCAGCATGATAATAAGCGGAAGCAGCACGCAGCCGAAGAAGTTGAAATACACCATGTAGCTCATCGTTACCACATTCTCAAAGAGGCATGAGATGAAGCAGCCATGGTGCTCTGTCCCGGTATCAGCCCCTGTCTCGTTGGTGGCATTGGGACAACCGCTCATGGCTTTATTCCAGCCCATAAGTGGAGTCAGTCCAATTCCAAAGGACAGGAGCCACAGCACAGCGATGAGTCCTCTTGCCCGCTTGCCAGTCACCAGACTATTATACCTACAGCATCAAGAACAAAACCAAGATAGAGCCATTAAATAAATGAGTGCTCGTGACTTCCTTGCAGTTAAAGTCATCAGCAGTTTGGCTAATGCCATAGAAATCCCACCCGCACCCACGCAGGAACCTCACCTCTGTGATCACCAGAGGGGTAAAAAAATCGCACCTGTGCTCTATGCCTACGCGTGGATTTGGGGCGGTGATTCCCTTACTATTCCTGAGAGGTGCCAAGCACTGCCCCTGCCTGTGAACATCCTTCAATAGGAGGTAAAAGAGCTTGGAGTCTCAAAAAAGGCTTTATCATTGCATGAGCCTCAACCACCAACTACAAGGAGGGCAAGAACAGGGGGAAGGCTCACTCTGTAACCACCAACTTAACTCTCTTGCTCTAAGCATCCCTTATTGGCCACGCCAGGTCACATTGCTGGGCTACGTGAACTTCTGGGCTGACTTACTAGAGCTGAGACAATGC